CAGGCCTGAGGGCAGCCTAGGGCGAAAAGGGGGGCGGACAAGGCGAAGGACAGTACACAGGGCGGCTGAAATTACGGACAAGGCTAGACAGGGACAGGGCGGGCCGAAAATTGACGGAAGGGGGGAAGGGGGGGGGGCCGGAGGGGACGGGCCACGAGACGATAGGGTCAGGGGCGCGACGGGGAGCGACAGGTGAAAGGATGCTAACAAGGGGGGAATACATGTGACTGTATTTATATTGTACCTCCTACTCAGCCTATGCCTGAGGGGTGTACACGTGTGTAAAAGGCACGACATCATTGGAGGCATGGCCCCATTCCATGCCCAGGTAGTGGTTGGATTCCATACCAGGTAGTGGGTTGCGGCGCCGTTCCATTCCAGGTAGTTTTGGTGTGAGGAATTAAACACGCCGTGCACAAGAGGCGCGAACACTGTGCGTTAAAGAGCAGTAGCTTATTGATTCACAATATGTAGCAAATGAATGATGCAGGAATTGATGTGTGTTGAACAAACTTGCGTGCTAAAGCATAGTGCAGTGCAGTTATGTAGTAATAATAATACTCACGGTGGCTGCCATAGCACTAGGGCCATAGACCACGCACCCAGAGCAATGGGCGGAACCGTTAACAACAAACGAACATACATACACCATATGAACATGAGGTGTCTGTCTCACCTCCCAGACACCTCAACTCACCCCTTCCACCAGCATACACAACGCGAAATTTACACTACAGTACATATGACCGAAAAAGCACAAACTGCATACAAAGCAATCATGCATAAAGAACACTTTTATAAGTAAACATAAAAGCTTTACAGTTTTGAGTGTCTATGTATTGCGCGATATTATGCATGTATAAATACAGCATGACTTACATGTACACATGAATCGGGTAAGTTAAGCCTTGGGTAAGTTGTGGTGGTAAGTTAGGACTGCTTCAGAATTGGCTGGCCTGTCCCTCCTCCCTCCCTCCCTCCCCCCCAACTTCCTCTACACCTCGTGTTGTATGGTGTAAGTTGAAGGACAATTCTCTTATTAACCCTCTGATTTCAACTATTTAACCCGTTCCCTATATACACCCATTTAATTCTCTGATTAACCCTTTCCCTACACCTATTTAACCCTTACCCTATTTCCTGTAGCCATCTAAACTAAGTAGCGAAATTATCCATAAACCCAGCTCTATTTCTTTTACAACCAACGTCCATGCTTTTTAACTGCTAGTTGGCATATTCACTGTACTCTCGGCGCATAATATGTACAAACGGCACAACGACAAAATGCTAAATGTTAAGAACACCTACGTTTTGGATTTGCAGTGATGCGTTTGTAAAGGTAAGTGTAAAAAGTCCTCATTATTACGTTGGATGGTGGAACCCCTCTAATCTGGACACCAATGTGACAGAAGACAGTGTCCGTTTCAGAGCACAGCAAGGACACTACATCGGTACCTTAAAGCTATAGCACTTATAGATTCAAGGACAAGCTACATACCTACAGAATGTTTTCCTCATAAATGGAACCCCTTCTAATCTGGACACCATAATGGCAATGAACAGAGTGTCCATATTAGTGAGGTGTCCTTATTTCAGGGGTTGAATTGCATGCAAGAACTGTTCTTGGGGAAAGAAAAGGTGTCCTTATTAGAGAGGTGTCCTTATTTCAGGGGTTGAATTGCATGCAAGAACTGTTCTTGGGGAAAGAAAAGGTGTCATTATTAGGGGTGTCTTCATTTCAGAGGTGTCCTGGGAGAGAGGGGTTCCACTGTCTCAACACGGTGTATCGCAACCCAAATTGCAAGAATTCAGTTTTGCCGACTATACACACTCTCTCTCTCTTTTTAGCTGCTTATAAACATGCTGATGGGAAGAAGATTGACGGAAAACGAGTTGTCGTTGATGTTGAGAGAGGTCGAACAGTCAAATCTTGGAAACCACGTCGACTAGGTAACGGTTCCATTTCTTCCATGTTAAAGGGAATGTGGAAGTACGTAATGGCTAAATTTAGAAACGTTACTAAAGATAGAACAGGACAAAAGGGGCACAGTGAAAGGATGCAATGAGAGTTCCACTGGCCCCACGTGGGCTCTCTGTGCTACTTATATACGATTTTATTTATAGGATACATAGAGTACGCTTGCATATAATTATCGTGTCTCGGTCTTTACACTTCTCTCTCCTCAGGAGGTGGTTTAGGCGGCACAAGAAGAGGTGCTTCGCACGAGAATATCAAATACTCTGGAAGAGTTGATGAAAGGTAAGCATAAACACTCTTTCCCTGGAAACTCCTGGGTCCTTTCTATCTTTAGTAGCATTTCTAAAGTTAGCCCTGATGTAATGCATTAATTACAGGGACATGAATGTGACTGAGCGAGAAACTGCAATCTTGCACTAGGTCCTATTTTACATTTCCTGGGTCCTAACGCTTAGTTCTATCTTTAGTAGCATTTCTAAAGTTAGCCCTGATGTAAGCATTAATTACAGAGACATAAATGTGACTGAGCGAGATACTGCAATCTTGCACTATTTTACATTTCCTGGGTCCTAACGCTTAGTTCTATCTTTAGTAGCATTTCTAAAGTTAGCCCTGATGTAATGCATTAATTACAGGGACATGAATGTGACTGAGCGAGATACTGCAATCTTGCACTATTTTACATTTCCTGGGTCCTAACGCTTAGTTCTATCTTTAGTAGCATTTCTAAAGTTAGCCCTGATGTAATGCATTAATTACAGGACATGAATGTGACAGAGCGCAATCTTGCACTAGGCCCTATTTTACATTTCCTGGGTCCTAACGTTATTCTATCTTATAGCATTTCTAAAGTTAGCCCTGATTAATGCATATTACGGACATGATGTGACTGAGCGAGAAACTGCAATCTTGCACTATTTTACATTTCCTGGATGCTAACGTTAGTTCTATCTTTAGTAGCATTTCTAAAGTTAGCCCTGATGTAATGCATTAATTACAGGACATGAATGTGACAGAGCGCAATCTTGCACTAGGCCCTATTTTACATTTCCTGGATGCTAACGTTTAGTTCTATCTTTAGTAGCATTTCTAAAGTTAGCCCTGATGTAATGCATTAATTACAGGGACATGAATGTGACTGAGCGAGATACTGCAATCTTGCACTATTTTACATTTCCTGGATGCTAACGTTTAGTTCTATCTTTAGTAGCATTTCTAAAGTTAGCCCTGATGTAATGCATTAATTACAGAGACATGAATGTGACTGAGCGAGAAACTGCAATCTTGCACTAGGTCCTATTTTACATTTCCTGGATCCTAACGTTTAGTTCTATCTTTAGTAGCATTTCTAAAGTTAGCCCTGATGTAATGCATTAATTACAGGGACATGAATGTGACAGAGCGCAATCTTGCACTAGGCCCTATTTTACATTTCCTGGGTCCTAACGTCTTTGTTCTATCTTTAGTAACATTTCTAAAGTTAGCCCTGATGTAATGCATAATTACAGGGACATGAATGTGACAGAGCGCAATCTTGCACTAGGCCCTATTTTACATTTCCTGGGTCCTAGTGTTTTGTTCTATCTTTAGTAGCATTTCTAAAGTTAGCCCTGATGTAATGCATTAATTACAGAGACATGAATGTGACTGAGCGAGAAACTGCAATCTTGCACTAGGTCCTATTTTACATTTCCTGGATGCTAACGTTTAGTTCTATCTTTAGTAGCATTTCTAAAGTTAGCCCTGATGTAATGCATTAATTACAGGGACATGAATGTGGTGGAGCGAGATACTCACCGCGACGGAAACTCTGAAAAGGACCGCGACAGACCCCCCGAGAAGGACCGTGAGAGGGAGGGAGAGAGGGACAGAGAGAGAGACAGGGAGAGGGAGGGAGAGAGGGACAGGGAGAGAGACAGAGAAAGGGACAGGGAGAAGAGGAGCGAGAGGTCGAGGGAACGAGGAGTAGTGGGAGGAGTAGCGGAGCGTCCAGAGAGAGAGAGGAGACGAAGCCGCAGTCGAGAGAGAGGCAGTAGAGAGAGAGACAGACGGTGAGCTGTACACAAATGATTAAAACTACTTTTTACGAATGTGAATTTTATGAGCGGGTGATAGATCGTAAAGTGAGAGGATATGTTTGGGTCTTTTTGGGAGTGCACCTGATAGAAGAACGGAGAGGGTGGACCACTTTTTACTAAGGGAGTGCTTATGACTAAGTTTGGTAGTACTTGGTATATAGGGATGACACAGGTTATTTGTCCCTTTCACTTTCAATGTTCCCACAATTTGAGTCTCCAGTTGCATGCTTGGTAGTGTCCACTCATTCAGACACCTTTTACACATTTGCATGCTGACTTGCCTCGTATTCACGATTTCCCATTCCATTACAAGTCACATACGTAGAACTTAGTGTGTGTGTGTGTGTGTGTGTGTGGCTTCATTTACTGCATGTACCGCTTAAACCCTTTGGGTGCCATGGGTATCTCCAAGCATAAATTGATGTATAATATATTAACGCCTAGTATTATAGCCCCATATAAATTCTTATGGGTTTATGGAGGCTCTGGACATACTTATATGTCCGTGGCTTAGAAAGGGTTTTAATTTTTTAATACGGAAAAGAGTTTTAATGTAGCTACATGTCTATCCTCAGCGAGAAACCAAAAGAAAGGGGGGAGAGAGATAATGGTCATAGAGATCGATCTCGCAGTAAAGAACATCGAAGTGAGCGTCGTGACAAAGACAAGGAGAGATCGTCACACGACAAGAACAGAGAGAACAAGGAGAGAGAGAAAGACAGGGAGAAGGACAAGGAGAGGGAGAAGGACAGGGAGAGGGATAAAGACAGGGATAAAGAGCGAAGTAGGGACCGAAGCTCTAGAAAGGACAAGGTAATGTTTTAGTCCCGCTCTGCCTTGCTGCCTCAGTAGCTCAGTTGGTAGAGCCCTCTCTAGAACGCAGAGTGCTCTCCTTGCTCTGTATGAGTGATTCAGCCTAGCCAGCCGAGCTGCCTCAGTAGCTCAGTTGGTAGAGCCCTCTCTAGAACACGGAGTGCTCTGCCTTGCTCTGTGTGAGTGATTCAGCCCAGCCAGCTGAGCTGCCTCAGTAGCTCAGTTGGTAGAGCCCTCTCTAGAACACAGAGTGCTCTGCCTTGCTCTGTGTGAGTGATTCAGCCCAGCCAGCTGAGCTGCCTCAGTAGCTCAGTTGGTAGAGCCCTCTCTAGAACACAGAGTGCTCTGCCTTGCTCTGTATGAGTGATTCAGCCCAGCCAGCTGAACTGCCTCAGTAGCTCAGTTGGTAGAGCCCTCTCTAGAACACAGAGTGCTCTGCCTTGCTCTGTGTGAGTGATTCAGCCCAGCCAGCTGAGCTGCCTCAGTAGCTCAGTTGGTAGAGCCCTCTCTAGAACACAGAGTGCTCTGCCTTGCTCTGTATGAGTGATTCAGCCCAGCCAGCTGAGCTGCCTCAGTAGCTCAGTTGGTAGAGCCCTCTCTAGAACACAGAGTGCTCTGCCTTGCTCTGTATGAGTGATTCAGCCCAGCCAGCTGAGCTGCCTCAGTAGCTCAGTTTGGTAGAGCCATCTCTAGAACACAGAGTGGCCTGCCTTGCTCTGTATGAGTGATTCAGCCCAGCCAGCTGAGCTGCCTCAGTAGCTCAGTTGGTAGAGCCATCTCTAGAACACAGAGTGCTCTGCCTTGCTCTGTATGAGTGATTCAGCCCAGCCAGCTGAGCTGCCTCAGTGGCACAGTGCCAAAAGCAGTGGACACAGCAATTTGAAAATTATGTGACCAAGGAGACTCTTGGAGCACACATGGTCCAACATTCTAGAATCCTAAGTTGTGGGCTTGGTTGGCATAGGCGCGTGCGCGTAAGCTGTAAGGTACAATATCTATTATATACACATTGTCTTTTTTAACAACAATCGTTCGCTCCATTGTGTGACAGGAGAGGAGTCGAGACAAGGACCGAGACAGGAGTGGCAGGGACAGAGACGGACGGAGCAGCAAGAGGATCAAGACTGAAGACGGAGAGGTGAGGGAGGATGGAGAGAGAGACAAGGGAATCAAGACGGAAGTTCTGGAAGATGGGGAAATGCCCGAGGACGAAGGTGAACTTTGGTGCAGTTGTGCGAGAAAGGAGGGTATTTTGACAAACCCCTTTAATCCAGACAACAGAAGAAGTTAACGAAAGAAAGTGTCCATATTAGTGAGGTGTCTCTTTCTGAGGCTAATCTGCATGCAAGATCCTTCAGAAAGCCTGATTAGAGAGTTGTCCTTATTTCAGTGGGGTTTGCGGAAAAAAATTTTAATGCAACCTCTCCACATACCAATGGAGCAAATGAAATGAGGTTCCGGGGTTAATGAATACCATTTTTTGGAGAACAGAAGAAGTGCCTTTTTTTGCAATTCTGTTATTACTGAGTGAATGCACCCCAACCCAACAGGTCCTAATGGAGCTGGAGTAAAGATGGAGTCTTGAACTATCGTATATTATGCGGAACACTATGTCGTGCTGATTTATAAATCTCGTTGTAAAAAATTTCATTTGTCTCACATTCCACACTATATGACGTAATTGTAAAGTCATTCATTTTTTTACATAATGGCACGCCATTTATGTTCATCTTAAAAAAATCGATGTGCATGCATGCGCAGTTGCCATGGAGGTGCAGCGGTGTGGGGAAGTCCCTAGGGTTCCTACATTCCAAATCACACGATGACCTCACTTTATTTGGAGAATGAACTAATGGCTCATTGTTCACTGCATGTATCTTTCTTACGACGACCATTGTAACTTACGTAGGGATTGATAATTATTATGAGAGTATATAATTATATGGGATTGATATTATGAGAGCGTATCTATAGATTGATATATTGACATTGTCTATTATAGTGCATCCAGGCACTATCTAGCTCTGAAGTTGCCCAGTTTCTTCCTGAGGAGGACGGGGGTGAGAGAGAGAACGGCCAGCCCGGCTAGAACTAGGACTGAGGTCACAGATACGTGGCCAGTGCTGGTGGTCAGTTCGTAGAGGAGTCGTCCCTGCTCTAACGAAGAAGAATGAGGGCGGAGCTACACCTAAGAAAGTTCCCCAGAAGAACGGAGGAATTCTCACGCCCACAATGGGAGAGGCGAGGTTTATGAACCAGTTTGGAAGGAACGGAGTGATTCTGAGGAACACGACATACCACAGCATGTCTTCACTGTGTCTGTCGATCTGGAGAGTAACACAGAACAACACACATACAGACACAGTGAAGACATACCACAGCATGTCTTCACTGTGTCTGTCGATCTGGAGAGTAACACAGAACAACACACATACAGACACAGTGAAGACATACCACAGCATGTCTTCACTGTGTCTGTCGATCTGGAGAGTAACACAGAACAACACACATACAGACACAGTGAAGACATACCACAGCATGTCTTCACTGTGTCTGTCGATCTGGAGAGTAACACAGAAGAACACACATACAGACACAGTGAAGACATACCACAGCATGTCTTCACTGTGTCTGTCGATCTGGAGAGTAACACAGAACAACACACATACAGACACAGTGAAGACATACCACAGCATGTCTTCACTGTGTCTGTCGATCTGGAGAGTAACACAGAACAACACACATACAGACACAGTGAAGACATACACAGCATGTCTTCACTGTGTCTGTCGATCTGGAGAGTAACACAGAACAACACACATACAGACACAGTGAAGACATACCACAGCATGTCTTCACTGTGTCTGTCGATCTGGAGAGTAACACAGAACAACACACATACAGACACAGTGAAGACATACCACAGCATGTCTTCACTGTGTCTGTCGATCTGGAGAGTAACACAGAACAACACACATACAGACACAGTGAAGACATACCACAGCATGTCTTCACTGTGTCTGTCGATCTGGAGAGTAACACAGAACAACACACATACACTGAAATCTCTGAATAAGGGACACCTAGGGGACTTATCTTTTACCAAAGGAAATGTGTCAGTATATACATAAGGGCTAAATTTAGAAATGTTACTAAAGATAGACCTTAACAATAGGGCCCAGTGGAAGAGGTTTCCATTTTCAGTAACAGTTTCTAAATTTAGCCATTACATAGTGCCACATTCCCTATAATTCGAAGGTAGTATAACAAAAACTACGTAAACAGTCTTTGCAATCTATGTTCAAAAGTCACCAGACCCTCATCCTCTCCTAAAGGGTGGGGGTGAAAGTACAAGACAATACAGTACCTGCTGTCTCCATTGGTTTAGACGCTGAGGGAAGTAGTGATGAACAAGTCTGTAACCAACCGTGGCAGATATGAGGTAGCAGAACGTCGCTCCGAGAGCTGAACACTGTGAGAAATTATTAGCCTTTTACTGAGGCAGCTCAGCTGGCTGGGCTGAATCACTCATACAGAGCATGGCAGAGCACTCTGTGTTCTAGAGAGGGCTCTATATACCAACTCAGCTACTGAGGCAGCTCAGCTGGCTGGGCTGAATCACTCATACAGAGCAAGGCAGAGCACTCTGTGTTCTAGAGAGGGCTCTACCAACTGAGCTACTGAGGCAGCTCAGCTGGCTGGGCTGAATCACTCATACAGAGCACTCTGTGTTCTAGAGACTGGCTCTACCAACTGAGCTACTGAGGCAGCTCAGCTGGCTGGGCTGAATCACTCATACAGAGCAAGGCAGAGCACTCTGTGTTCTCCACCAACTGAGTTACAGTATAGAGAGCTCTATGTATCTCAGTTACTCACTGTGCAGACTAGTAGGAGAGCAACAGGAAATGGAAACAAAAAACCTGACAAGATTGAGAGAAATATGCTGCCAGGAATGGCAAATGTCTGAAGACTAAAATAAAACGTAAAGGAATCACACATGATACATAAATACACATTATTTCCTTAACGCCCAATTTTCTTATCCAACTACTCTATGCTAGTGGATTCTAGCAGATTGCTAGCCTTGCTGTAAAAAATTACCCAAACATTTTACACAAGATCTGTAAAACACAGTATAATTATACCTAATACATTATTATCGAGACACAATACTCCCATCCATGAAGGTGGATACAAGATGTAGATGATGAAGACTGCAGACAGCACGGTGAAGTAGTGAGTGTTCTTGTACTTGGAGAGCAGGCGAGCCAATTCCTTCACCGAGTCGAGGTCGCGAGGCCACTTCAGTCGCAGTGAATCCTCTCTGGGGTAGAGTTGTAGCTAAATCACGTGTTGGCCTTTGCTTTGCTATGACGTCATTGTTGAAACATGAACAGTCCTTTGATAGCACGTGCATAGCGTGTCGTCAGTCGACCTGTCAACGCTCCGCATAGTGTCTGCACATTCTCTTCACGTGCTGTTTTAATCTTCCGTTGGAATCAATCGCCATCTTTTCTTAGTTGCTTGCATGGCTAAGTGAATAACGTGAACAAACGTGTACACTAACGCGGTAGCCCAATCACTTACTCGTCGAGGTCCGGACAGTTGTACAGGACAAGAGAGACGGCGCACACCGACGCCACGAATATCACTGCTACGCTCAGTCCCGGACGGGTCACGTGATTGGAATGTTCTCTCGGCTCTAGCTCTCCATCGCTCCGTTCCAGACTAATGGACGAAGAAACTTCACGTGTAGTGGTGTTCTCGTCTACTCTTAGCCGCCGCCTCTCCATCTCTTTTTTGCTGAGTCAGCGTTGTCGCGCGCACGCATGCGCACAAATAGGATGAGCGGTGATGAGAGGGAGGATAACGGTGACGAAGAGTCTAGCTACCGCGACTTTTCAATAAGGTAGTAATACTGGTCAACTGTTCACCGGTGTAGTTTCTTTGCTTTATTACGGATAGGATTCTACTCGCATCAACGGTCAATGATCCGCCGCTGAAGAAATCCTTGAAGATCCCGTAGACGTAGTACGCAACGTATTCTGGGTCTGTTGACGCCTTCATTTTGGGATCAATCGCTTCGAAAACCCGATCAACGAAATCGTCGAGAGAGAAAACGCCGTCCCCGACCAACGACTCTATCTCGACGAGTAATTCGGCGAGTTTCACGTGAGAATTCGCGTCGAAAAGCCCAGTTGCTCCCTCGCTGTACGCATCGTACACGTCCCAGCCCGCTATGCCAGCGTCCAGCGCCCACGAAGCCGCAGTACCGACGCCCGGAACGCTGCCGACGACACCGGACATCAGCTCCGCGCCTGCCTTTGCGTATTCCCCGTTCACCAGTCGATATACGGCGAAAATCGACCCCACAGCCGGCGGGCCAAAGACGGGAACAAACTTCGAGGCGCCCTTCACCGTTGCTACGGCCACTCCTTTCCCTGCGACTTTCACGGCGCCTTTTCCCGCGGCGCGTTTCAATCCGATGCGCACAGCCTCCTCGCCAACGAGTTTCGCGGCGCTCAGGAGGGCGACCTTTTCGGCTTCGCGAACGGCGGCAGCCCCGGAGCGCTCGAACTGTTTCTTCTGAAGTTCGGACACCAGTCCCACGCGACGTTCTCGGCTCTCGCTATCACAGACATCGGCCCCACTTTTTCCGGACATTTCGGACGTGAGAGTAGCTATCACGCTCGGTTGGTCGGGAAATCCGTGTAGCGAGGTGGCAAGATGACGTTCAGTGGGCGAGAGGAGCGCTCGATCGTTTATCGTGTCGTAGAAAGAGAGAGAATCCTTCACACAGCTCCCCGACTCCATCACTTTTTCTCTCGTAAACAAAACACGCCCAGTCGATTACACGCATGCGCAAAAGACCACTACGTGTTTGCGCGCGCGCGTGCGCACGGCGCGAAATTTGAACAACAACGAAAATTTCAACGAACCGTATAAAAAGGTTGACATTACATTGGATCAAACAGTTTTGCAGTCTACCAGTGTCCGTCCATATGTCACGTTGCCAGTGGCAGTGTCTGGGGAGCTAACTGGACCAGTTAGCTGTCGTAAACTTCTCTGTGTGTATTTGAACGTGTATGATATGGAGGAAAGAGTGTTTCATATATATTATATATACCTTCAACTATGTAATTATGACTGCAAACCCATTGAGTAGCATACACTCTATTATTTGCACTGCACAACTCCCAGTCAAGCAATTCAAGATGGTTGGTTGGCCTATCACCACTTTCTTGCTAAATATTTATGCCACCCTATTCTTTCACTGCACACTCCAGCTATAGTCGAGGCATTCAGGATGGTTGATTGGCCTGTCCTTCCCCCACTTGCTTGCCAAAAGTACGAACAATTTAGGCCACCCTATTCTTTCACTGCACACTCCAGCTATAATCAAGGTATTCAGAATGGTTGGTTGGCCTGTCTTTCCCCCCACTTGCTTGCTAAATGTACGAACAATTTAGGCCACCCTATTCTTTCACTGCACACTCCAGCTATAGTCAAGCTATTCAGGATGGTTGGTTGGCCTGTCCTTCCCCCCACTTGCTTGCTAAAAGTACGATAGGTTTAGGCCACCCAAGAGAGACTGACTGGCTCTACTCACATGTCTTTATCCAGCTAACCTTGTGGCTGGACTGGGCAGTGAAATAGGGTCTTTCTCTCCTCTTCTTCAAAACCTCTGTATACGTCACCGTAGACTGTTTTGTTTGCTCTGCATAACGTGAGAGATGACTGTGTTGGACACACTCTGATGCACCCACATTTCTTACTGAGAAAGGGGCTTTAGCGACGAAGGCAGTATCACGACATTGGTACCAGTACGGAACACGGTCCGATCCCTCATCGGTCCTCGTTCCGATCTGCAGGTGGGTGTGGTCAGGGGATTGACCTTTGTACCGTGGCCCCAGGCCTTTGGGTAGTCTTCGCATAGCCAGTATGTTGCTACATCTTTACGGGCATATCCGAGCTGCTCTGGAGCTGAATATCTTCTGTGAAACCTGCAACAGATCGATAAGTGTTAATTAAAGTAGGGTATGGGTAATTATTATGTTTATGAATGTCACTAAAGAACTAAAGGTGGAACAGAACAATAGGGCCTCCAGCGCAATAATTCTGTTAAGTTTCCATTTTTAGTATACAACATCAGTATAATTATAATATGTCATGAATACATACATATGTATTTTTACACTGTGCTGCGTTGTGTAGACAAGTCTCAGCCTTGCGAACACACACCCCCGGAACCCAAAGACCGTCAGTACATTATAAGGGTTAAATGTTGTACTAAAGACCTGTTGTTGGTAGTGAGGTAAGGCTGGTTGTAGCTCAGCACACCTCCGGTTGTTGCAGACAACTCCTGCCCTACCCTTCTCTTGACCGTGGTCGACGGCACCAACTCCTAATTAATGACAAACACCATCTGTGTTTAGCTAATACTATGCACATACACACATTAATTCAAGTTGTCCTTACTCGACCATACATCCAATGCAGTGGTGGATCTAGGATTATGAAAGGGGGGGGTTGGGGTTCCGCTGTCCAGAACATTTTCGACTGCGCTCGTGCGCGTACACGAGGCCGGCGACGCATGCGCGCAAAATGATAAAAGGGGGGTTCCGCGGAACCCAAGGAAACCCCCTGGATCCACCGCTGCAATGCAACTCTTTTAACGATTCCTATCGTCTCAGCTAGTCGAAAACTGACCTTCGTAACACCGTCAATGAAGTGGTCCCTCAGTGATGGTGGCTGGGGATCGTTGTCGGGGAGGACCCTGCTAATCAGCTCCGGTTGCCCGGAGAACTGAGCCCTCGTCTCCGACATCTGATTGGACATTGTCAGGGGTCGTCGCCATGGTTTTGAACTCATCTAGTAAACAAGTTACTGTTATCACATAATGCACTTAAACAAAATGTTGTACAGTAATAATACTAATTCACAAAAGTAAAGAAAAAAGCAAAAAACAAGTTGCAGAAGCCATTTAAAAGTGATCGTTCAAGAAACTGAGTTTTCACCGTTATGCAATGCTTACCCTATTGATGGCTTCAAGTGTGTAATTAACCCTCCAGTGACCAGGAGCCTTCTTGTACAGTGGGGAAGGGGTTAAGTCTTTCTTGTCGTAGGCAGTAGCGGTGGTTGTCTGGTAGATGTTGTTGGTTGCAGGCGGGGAGAGGAGGGGAGGAAGAGGGAGAGAGGAGTGGAGAGGCTGAGAAAAGAAAGGGTGGTGGGAGGGGGTTATGAATGAATGAATGCAATCAGGCTCCTTGTATATATTTTACCCACGGGACCTCCTTCATGTATATAGTAAACTCACTAGCAGGTACGGTCAAGCTCAAAATATTTGAGAATATACTCCTGGAAAATTGGAAGTAGAAATGTGTATATATTATAGCAAGGGTGCCTGGTCGTGTTTATACTATATACAAGCCCCAAGACCTTACTTTTGAACAGCTAAAGTATGTATATACTCCCAAGGAAGAGTTTAGTAAGGGTGCCTGCCTGCACACACACACACACAGAATAGTCTATTACGTACGTACATACTTGGTGTGGTTCAAATGTGAAGCTTGGCAGTATTGATTGCAGTGCATAATATACAGTGGAATGTGAGAAGGAGAAGCCTACCTGTATATGTAGAGGCTTGCACTTCCCACCCCTTAGTTCAACTTCAAAGTACACAAAGTTCTTTCAATGACATAGTGTCACACACACACCCATTTTATAGGACTGCCCCACTGACATAACAACCAACAAAAAATATAGACTGCGCTTACGTAACAACTCTAACCGTCTTTTTCAAGGGCGCTGCTTGACTGACAAACGCAGATACCCAGCTAAAAACTCAGACTTTCATCATGCAATAGTACACTATAGAGAGTAATGGCCTTTCAGACGAGGTGAATAAAGCAACATGCACACCTGTCAACAGTGTTCCGTGCTCAGTATACCTTGGTCAGCAGCAGAGTGTCGAGAGGCTCGCTATGACGCCTTGCCAAGGCAACGCCCGTGGACGTCAGGTGTAGGTCGTTCCGTCTCTCAGAGGTAAGAGTCGACATGCGCTTCATCTTTCCACCGCTCGATTCTATTCCCGTCTCTTAGTCACAGAAAGAAGGCCTAGAATTCTCAGGCCGAGCTCGCGGGGTCCGCGTCCGCCATATTGTTTGTTTACCAGCGGTCGGTGCGTTACCTGGCAACGGACGTCGACCAATCAGATGCGCGCGCGGCCGATTCAAAATTCGAGTTCGAAATTTGAAAACGGCACCACGTTTTGCGTTCCCACACAATCCTGTGTGTTTTCACGGCAAGCAAGTCCAGGACTACAGTCTGTAGTTCGCGCACAAATCGTGTCTACAAGAAGTAAAGAGAGAGAGAGAGGAGCGACAGCGAAGCAATCGCTGGACTACTGAATCGGCACTTCTTTCTCTCTCGTTCTTTCCTGCAAGACTCACCGCTCGGTGTCTATCTCTTCTTCCACCTGACGTGAGAGGAGAGAGGAGGAAGGAATGGCGGGGCTGATACAGGTCAGAGAGCGACCTAGAACGGCTCCCGTGACAACGACTCCGTCCTACACGATAACTGACAACGGCAACACTACAATGAAGGTAAAACAGCTACTATATGCATGATGTATATATATACCGATGGCTACGTGCTATGAAGCAAGCGTCAATTGCTATAGCTATGGCTAGCTGTGTGCGTGCTCTCGTGTATCTAGCCAGGCACGCGCGGCTTTCATGTAGTCATGGCTATGGTGTTGCGGACTTAGGTACAGGACAAGGCAAGAGTGTCCGTGTGTACCGTAGCTATATACACTGGAAAAGAAAGGACGGGTGCTGTACTGAAAATCTAATTTGCTCAGAATGGTGTATACCTTCTCCCAGAGCGGGTCACGTACGTATGCAGCTTAGCTAAAGGTTTTTAGCATTGGGTTGGGCAAGTTTCGTTTTTCCAGGAGAAGACCTTGTTACAGCCAAAGTTTGTGCGATGAGCTATTGCTAACTGTTCTAGCTTTGAATAAGTGTGGAATATATATCAAAGATTCATCAGCAAATAATGCATATTATGTTCCGCTCGGATGCTCAACCAGAGCCCGGATGCTCAACTGGCCAGATACGTCAACAGGATGTCCCATTACTTAACCGCCAGACGGCACTGCACACGTGGGTTTACGAATTTGCCATCATTCAGCGGCAGCTACCTGACAAGATCCAGAAGAATCAGAGTGTAGACGTTGCACGTAATTGACGATTTTTGATTTTCTACGGGGAAGAATTTTAATTGGGCGTAGATCTCGCAGGTTGGAATTCTACCAATGTCGCATAGACATGCAGTGCCATCGACATGGACAATACGAAAAATGTTATTGTTAACGAGGTGTTGAATCAACAACTAAACTGAGGTTTCACACAGACGGAAGTCTCATAGGAGCATCAAAGGGGTTTTGAATTGCTGACGGTGTGGCACAAGTTGCAGATTTCCAACTGTATCACGCGATATGTCAGCTATTGCGTGTGTGTGTGTGTGTGTGTGTGTACATGGTCATGCTTGCTTCCATGCATGTTGTATTAGGACACTGAGTTAGAATGCTCCTAATTGACAAACTGTCCTGATCTCAGTGGTTGAGAGACGCTGAGGAATTTTAAATGCACCTCTATCTAATTACGTAACATCTAGCCTAATTATGTTGCAAAACGGAACCCCTTATAAGGACATCAATGAAAAAAGGGCTTACCCCAAAGCATTTTTGCTAGCCATCTGAAATAAGGACACCTCACTAATATGGACACTTTCGGCTGTCCCATTACAGTGGTTTCACTTTCAAAACATGGTCGCGGAACGTGGCCCTGGATTTGCAGAGTTTGATGTTACAAACATCACAGCTTGCTACGTACCTGCATTCTCTCTCTGTGTTAGCTACACTGTCGGTACAATCTCGCGCACATGTCGACACGTAATTTATGACATCTGGCGTATAGCGACGGCTGGTGGTTAGCCCATAAAGGGTAGCGTTATGGCACCAACTATTTGGGGCTTTGGCCCAGAGACTGCAAACTGCGTTTGGGTTATATAGCTGTGGAACTGTATGCAGCAAGTTTGGGCTGAAAGTTGCACATGTAGTGTTACATAAGCCAGTGAAGATGAGTTGTAATTGGTCCACTGTTTTCTCATTTCCCTCCTGTTTTCACTCTCTGCTTCACCTCCTCTTCCTCCCTCCTCTTCTCTCTCTTTCTTTGATTTCTAACCCTTTCTCTCTTCTTTCATTCTTTCTCCTCTCTTTTTTCTTTCATTCTGAATCCCTCCCTCCCTCCTTCCTCCCTCCCTCCCTCCTTCCTTCCCCCTCATGCCAGGTGGTGGTCAGAATAAGACCGGAGAGTCAAGCTGAATCTTCAAGTGGAGCAGCAATCATAACTCGTGTCCTCGATTCTCACGTCCTTGTCTTTGACCCTAAACCTGAAAATCTTCCTTCATTCAACTCACCTCTTAACATATTCAAGTGAGTCTCTTAGTGAGGTGTCCTGATCTCAGAAGAAAGTGTCCTGATTAGTGAGGTGTCCTCATATCAGAAGAAAGTGTCCCGATTAGTGATCAGGTGTCCTGATATCAGAAGAAATGTCCCGAATAGTGAGGTGTCCTGATCTCAGAAGAAAGTGTCCTGATCTCAGCAACTGAAATGAAGTGGTGTTATCTCAGGCACTTGAGAAGTGCATTAGTCCTGCATGTTAGCAGGGCTGGCCTGAATTGACGTGTAGGGACACATCAATTGATTGAACTTGTCGTGAAATTTCAGAAATGGAAGTTGTTCCGGTAGTGTTTCCAAACTTGTATTCAGAGCGCTTGTAATGTAGGGCGCTCTAGATCTGTGTTCTAGAGAGGGCTCTACCAACTGAGCTACTGAGGCAGCTCAGCTGGCTTGGCTGAATCACTCATACAGAGCAAGGCAGAGCACTCTGTGTTCTAGAGAGCTCTACCAACTGAGCTACTGAGGCGTGCTCTGCCTTCTAGAGAGGGCTCTACCAACTGAGCTACTGAGGTAGCTCAGCTGGCTGGGCTGAATCACTCATACAGAGCAAGGCAGAGCACTCTGTGTTCTAGAGATGGCTCTACCAACTGAGCTACTGAGGCAGCTCAGCTGGCTGGGCTGAATCACTCATACAGAGCAAGGCAGAGCACTCTGTGTTCTAGAGATGGCTCTACCAACTGAGCTACTGAGGCAGCTCAGCTGGCTGGGCTGAATCACTCATACAGAGCAAGGCAGGGCACTCTGTGTTCTAGAGAGGGCTCTGCCAACTGTGCTCTTACAGAAAACAGAGCTGTATACCATGTAATCAATCAAAGGCTCTTGAAGTCCACTTTTAGTCAGGCATTCAGTTGGCACTACTAGAAGAAGAGCTCCCTTTTCTCAGAACTGACGGAAGCAATCTATATGTATTACTGTATCTGTTTCAACTAATGTATCTGTGAAAGACTGGAAAGGAGCCTCTATAGTGGGCAGGTCCTTAGATTAACCCTTTGCTCATTGGTCTCTAAGGTTTAACCCTTTCACTCCCAGGAAAAGAGCCTCTATAATCGGCAGATAATACAGGGACCTATAATTATAAGATTAACCCTTTGCTCTTTGCTCTCTAAATTTAACCCTTTCACTCCCAGGAAAAGAGCCCCTATTCTGGGCAGGAAGCACAGAGACCTCAGATTTGCCTTTGATCGAATCTTCGACGAAACTTCGACTCAGCGAGATGTCTTTGAGGAGTCCACCAAGAACATTGCTGAGAGCGTGCTGGATGGAGTTAACTGCTCCGTGTTCGCTTATGGAGCCACTGGAGCAGGTAACCAGAGATTTTTCTAATCATTATTTTGAGCATTTCCGCATGCTATCTACTACTGTAGCTAGTCCGTGTCAGACTCTCCGCGAGCTACTGGCGTGGATACCACGAGTAAACGCATACTAAAAGCCCAGCCCATCAATTAGTGGTACCGTGCGTGCACAGTTCGCCGAGGGTTTGCACTTTAGTGCGCTTGTCATTTTTATCATTACTGGAGCATTTCCGTCTGTTTCAACATCATGAGCATGATCAACTTACATGCTTATATTTGCCAGTAAGATATTTGTGCTACGATACCTATAAAGGTCTTTCTGCATACTTAGCATAATTCCTAAGACCACGGGAGTCATTTACTCACAATATAATGCTCTGTATCTAGTATATGCATGCATTACGTGTAAAGCGTGGTCAGTATAATATACAATTCTATTTCACCCAATTTTTAAATCGCCGTCATTCAACCGATGACACTTTAGTCTAACAGTAAATGTGGCAGTTGTTTAATTATAGAGAGCAGTTATTTTGTATATAGTTTAAAATCTAATCCCCCCCTCCTCTATCATTTAATCTAGCAAGTATTTACGGGAAATTGTGGCAGTTGTGTAAGAACTAAATTTATAGAGAGCAGTTATTTTGTAGTTTAAACTTTTTCGCTTAAAGGAAATGTGGCAGTTGTTTAATTATGGAGAGCAAGTGTTTTGTAGTTTAACCCTATTCCCTCCCTCTCCCTTTATCATTTAGTCTAGCAAGTATTTACGGGAAATGTGGCAGGACTAAATTATAGAGAGCAAGTGTTTTGTAGTTTAACCCTATTCCCTCCCTCTCCCTTTATCATTTAGTCTAGCAAGTATTTACGGGAAATGTGGCAGGACTAAATTTATAGAGAGCAAGTGTTTTGTAGTTTAACCCTATTCCCTCCCTCTCCCTTTATCATTTAGTCTAGCAAGTATTTACGGGAAATGTGGCAGGACTAAATTTATAGAGAGCAAGTGTTTTGTAGTTTAACCCTATTCCCCCCCTCTCCCTCCCTCTCCCTCCCTCTCTTTATCCCCTGCAGGTAAGACCCATACGATGCTGGGTGCAGCTGGCTCTCCGGGGGTCATATTCCACACCATGTTGGAACTGTATCGCTGCATCGGACGATTGAAGGACGAAAAGTGCTTCGAGGTGGCCGTCTCATATTGCGAGGTAACGCCTACATGTCTCTTTTAACCCTTTGTATGCCACGAGGATCTGCTTAGATGAGCAGAAATTGATGTATAAAGTATTAGCGCCTAGTATTATAACCCCATATAAAGTCTTATGGACTTATGGAGGCTCTGGACACATTTGTGTGTCCGTGGCTGGTTAAGTGTTACGCCATGAGGATCTGCTTAGATAAGCAGAAATTGATGTATAAAGTATTAGCAGGAGAAGAAGATGAACAAAACTCCCTATCATAGCCCCTTACGTCTATGATGCTAGGTACCATGCCAATCCATATATACTAAGTACTACCGTACTTAGTGATTATATAGACTTTGGACACATTATGTGTCCACGCGGCAAAATCGTTGGCCCCATAGTGTCCCTTGACCTCCGGAGGTTCCATAGTCAAACACAATCCGCCGTTCAAAAACGTGGTTTTTTCCGTAATCGAAATGTCGGTCTCTCACTGAACTGCACAGGTTTACAACGAGACGATTCGAGATCTGCTGAACTGCACAATCGACGGAGGTTCTCTGGAGCTGAGAGAGGACTCGAAACACGGTCTGGTTGTCAGCAGACTCTCCAGACATCAGGTAATTTTCATCTCTTTCACACCATCATATCCAGCACCAATGTCACACACACACACACATACAATTACTAACCCCATTTACGATCTAAAAAGCTACATAGCATCAGCATTACTACAGAAATTGCACGCCATTTATGGGAATAATATGGATCAGAAGATACGAATGATAGAAGCACTCATACATAAGGGCATGGCAAGTATGAAGCGTACTTGTTGCTTTTGATTAAACACCTCTCCCACCCTTCTTTTCCTCCCTCCCTCTCTCCCACCTTCCCTCCTTCCCTCCCTCCCTCCCTCCCTCCCTCGTAGCCAAAGACAGCAGAAGAACTGCTCGGCATGTTGGAAAGCGGCAACAAGAACAGGACGCAACACCCGACAGACGCCAACGCCACTTCTTCCAGATCACACGCAGTGTTTCAGGTATACACTTTATGTCATTCATTTACGTACATGTATATGTAGTGTGGAACCTTCTCTCTGTGGAGTAAGGACACCCCTGAAATGAGGACACCTCTCTAGTAAGGACACCCCTGAAATGAGGACACCTCTCTAATAAGGACACCATTTCTTTCCGCATTTCTTGCATGCAATTGAACGGACACCTCTCTAATAAGGACAGCTTTTCTTTCCTCAAGAACAGTTCCTGCATGCAATTCAACCCCTGAAATAAGGACACCTCACTCTATTCATTCCTTGCTCTCTTAATTATAAATGTTTGAGCTTAGCCGAGTTATCCTTTTTAACCTTATTTCTCTTACCCTAATACCAATCACCTGCAGGTATACGTCCACCAGAGACCGCGAACAGCTGCAATAACTGCTCAAATGACGTGTGCCAAACTCTCGCTCATCGACCTCGCGGGGTCAGAGCGCGCTACCGTGACGACCAACAGAGGGGCGCGGCTAAGAGAGGGTGCCAACATCAACAAGTCTCTCCTGGCGCTCGGGAACTGTATCAACGCTCTCGCCGAGAACAAGGTGAGGTGTCTTGAGGGAGATTAATTAGAGGGGGGCAAACAGTGGAACTCCTCTAATCCAGACACCAATGGGACAGAAGAAAGTGTCCATATTAGTGAGGTGTCCTTATTTCAGGGGTTGAATTGCATGCAACAACCGTTCTTTGGGAAAGAAATAGTGTCCTTATTTAGAGAGGTTTTCTCATAATAGCCTTGAAATTTTCTGCATCAGACTGGTTTGATATGAATACAGTGGAACCCCTCTCTAATAAGGACACTCCTGAAATGAGGACACCTCTCACCTTTTCTTCCCCAAGAACAGTTCTTGCATGCAAATTTAACAACCCCTGAAATAAGGACACCTCTCTAATGAAAAGCACTAAAGTGCAAACCCTCGGCACACTATATAGAAATGTGGAACCCATACACAAGTGTGGCACCACCACAATTGATGGTCTTGACCATGCATCAAAAAGAACAGCACCATTTCCGTGGATTATTATGGGAAAAAAATGGGCCAGCCCTATATCTGTTTGAGGCCCAAAAAATATATAAGGATGAAATATTGCCAACCTTTCATCTCTCTATTAATTTTCGTATTACCTGTGGATTGTTTAGTGCAAAAAAAAATTTCACCCAAAAACCCAAGGTTGAAAAAATTTTCTAAAAACGCCCAGCCCTTCATCTCTCCAGACAGACCTCTACTGACGCAGTGCTATGCCGAACTATACGCTGCCCTTTGAGAAACGTGGGTCAGTGGTAGATTTGTGGGTAAGGGGAGGAACCAGAGCTGTTCCCAGCCAATGCTCTGGACCACCTGACATTTTAGTGCGGATCGAGGATTCGAACCGGGCACCTATGGTGTCAGTCCCCACGACTCTAACCACCTAGCCACTCGGGCTGGCCTGGAGAGGTGATGAAAAAACGTTCCAGTTATACCAACAGCCAACACTCATCATTGTAAAAAAGGCGCACACCCCCCGGGATCGAACCAGGGACCTCACGATCAAGAGAGGGGGTGCTTATCCATCAGACCACCACCCATTACTTGAATGGGAACAGTGTAAATGAAAAGCACTAAAGTGCAAACCCTCGGCGAACTGCGTATGCGCGGTATACACCGCTAATAATGGATGGGCTGGGGCGATTGGCATTTACTCACGGTCTCCCGCTAGTATATAGCTTTGCGGAGAGTCTGACACGGGCTAGCTACAGTAGTAGATAGCATGCGGGAGTCGATACACACCCTTCGCTGTGGCTTCTTGTGCCTCCAAGGTACACAGAGCAAGCGGATCAGGTCGAAGTGTGAGCCTAGCCAGCATACTGCATCTAATATACGCATGCGCACCGCTTATTGATGGGTTGGGCCACGCAACGCTGTCCGCGTCAGTTTGTCGCTCTCGAACGCAGTCGTTTCAACAAAATCGCCATTTTATTTTTCTCGCCCCTGTACCGCTAAAGCTGTTGGTATATCGCTCATAAGCCGCCTCGTTGCCTGCAGTGCGAGAATAGTGGTAGAAAAAAGTCGGGAAAAAGAGGAGGATTTTTTACAGTAAAAAAGACGCCCCTGAAATGAGGACACCTCTCTAAAAAGGACACTTTTCTTTCCCCAAGAACAGTTCTTGCATGCAATTCGACCCCTGAAATAATGACACCTCAATAAAAATAAAAGGAACTTTCTTCTGTCCCATTGGTATCCATATTAGAAGGGGTTTAGGTATTTACTACTGTATTTGTCATTCGATTCCAGACCAAGTCGGTCCACATTCCGTACCGGAACAGCAAGTTGACCAGACTGTTGAAGGACTCGCTGGGAGGGAACTGTAGAACGGTCATGATCGCCAACATCAGGTGAAAATCCTGTCAATTTTCTAAAAATGACTTAAAACCCTTTGCATATATATATGCACAGAGCCTCCATAAGTACATAAGAAAATAATAATAAACTTAAAATAATAAAACAAAAAAATAAATATAAAAAAAATAAGAATAAATTAAAAATAATTAAAAAAAAATAAATAATATATAAAAAATAATTAAATCAATAAATTAAAAATAAAAAAATAAAATAATAATTAAAAATAAAAACAAAAAATTATTAGATGTACGACATAAGATATACCAAAAAATAATAAACTAAAAATATATTAAGATATAAGAATACATATAGTTAATGTTTAATAATTTAAGTATTATAAGATGCGAAAAATAATTTAGATTATTTAAGAATAATAAAAAATAAATAATATATAAGAATAGAACATAAGAGAAGAATGAAGATAGATAGAAATATCGAATACTATATAATATTAATAATTAAGAGAAAGAACATAAGATAAAAATACGAGAATTAGAGATATTAAGAAATATAATAATAAGATAATAAGGAATAAAAAAGAGACAGATATAAGAATACAAAAGAAGAAAATATAAATTAAGATATAAGACATAAATAAAGAAATAAGATACTGTTAATATATATAAATCATAAGATATTTAAGAGAAAGATAAGAAGATAAATAATTAAGATAAAAAACAATAAAAAATAAGAGGAATAGAATACAAAAAATTAAAATAAAAAAACAAAACATAAAAATTAAGTTAAAAATTTATAAAAATAAAAATACAAAATAAATAACATATAAAATAATATAAAATTAAAAAATAAAAGAATTTAATTTAAAAATATAAAATTAATCATAAAATAACATCTAAATATAAAAAATAAAAATTTAACATAAAAATTAAAAATTAATAAAAAAAAAATAATAAAAATAAATAATAAAATAAAAATAATAAAAATAAAAAATATTAATAAATAAATATAAAAATACCTTATAATAAATAATTAAAAAAAAAATTTAATAAAATAAATAAAAATAACCCAATATAACATAAATAATAATAAATATAAAAAAATAAAAAATTAAAATTAAAGAAAAAAATAAAAATAACCATAAAATTAAAAAAAAAAAATTAATAAAAATAAATTAATAAAAAAATAACAAAAAGAATTTTAAATAATACATTAAAAAATAAGAGAAATAAAAATAATTAAAATAACAGATAATAAAAATAAAAAAAATAAATAATAAATAAAAATAAATAAAATATATTATTAAAAAATAAATAAAATAAAAAATTATAAAAATAATAAGAATTCATAAATTAAAAAATAATAAATTAAATTAAAATAAAAAAATTAACTAATAAATAAAAATAATAAAATTTCAAATTAATAAAATAAAAAAAATTTAAAAATATAATAATTTAAAATACAATTAAATAAATAATAATAATATAAAAATAAAAAAATTCTAAATAATAATAAAAAAATATAAAATAAAAAAAAAAAAATTAATAATATAAAAATTATAAATTTACCAAACACAATATTACAAAATAAAAAAAATATAATAAAATAAAAATAAATAAGAAATAAGAAGATTAGAAAGAATTTAAAAAAAAAATTAAGAGAGAATTTATTAAAGATATAAATATAATTATAAGATAAGAACAGAAGATAAGAAATTAAGACATAGAGGAATATAGAAAGATTTTAAGAATAGAAAGAATTATAATAAATAAGAAAAAAAATATTTATTAATAAGATTTAAAATAAAAAGAAATAAATAAATTTAAGAATTTATTTAAGAAAAATGAAGAATAGGACATATTTAAAATAAGCTAATTAAGAATAAACAAAATATAAATTTAAGAAATAAGAAATAAATATATATTTAAAACTTAAATGATTAAGGAATATAATTAGAAATAAGAATTAAGTTAAGAGAATAAGAAGAAGATTAAAGAATAAAATAATATATTTTATAAGAATTAATAAGAAGAATAATTAAGATAAGAAATTAATTTATTAAGTAGATTAAATTAAGAATAAGAAATTCTTATATTAAGGAAATATTTAAGTAAAATATAAAAGAAGAGAATAGAAGATAAGAATTTAGTTAAGAATTAAAAAAAATAAATAAGTTTTTAAAATATATTAATAAGAATATAAGATATTATTAATAAATAAGATTTGAAATAATAAAAAAATGGGAGAATAAATAAATAATAAGGATTAAGACGTTAAAATTAATTATAAGATTATAGATAAATTAAGAATTTATAATAAGAATTAAATAATAAGATTTTTATTAAAGAATTTAAGCAGATATAAGAAAAAAGAGAAGAAAAAATTATTTAAGAAATAAAATTAATAAAAAAATAAGAATAAAGGAATTAATAAATAATTAAATATTTAAATATAAAAGAGAAAGACTATAAGAATTAAAAATACAATAATTAGAAAGTTATAAGGAATCAATAAATTAAGAAAAATAATAAGAATTATAAAATAAGAAGAAGTAAGAAAGAATTAAGAATAGAAGAAATAAGAAGATTTAAGATAGAAGAATATCAACAATATTCAAGAATTAAGATAAATAATTAATAATAAGAAATAAAAAAAAATTATTTAAGATTAAGATAGAAAGAAGATAATTGAGAATTTATAATTAATAAATTAAGTAGAAAGAAAGAATTAAGAATATTAATTAATTTAAGGACTTAAGGAATAAAATAAGAATAACGATTAAGAAAAACTAATGAATTTAGAAGAATAAAATAAGAATTTAATATAAAGTTTAAGAAGAAAAAATGAATGAGAAATTAAGGGAAAAATAAGCATGTAATAAAATAAGAATTTTAAGAAATAAAATAAGAGTAAGATAGATGTATAAGAATAATTAAGGAAATTTAAAGTTTTGATAAAAAATTAAAATTAAAAAAAATTTAAAATATAAATAATAAGTAATAAGAATTATATATGCTATAATACTAGGCGCTAACATCAATTTCTGCTTATTTAAGGAGACACCTACGGTGCCCAAAGGGTTAATATTATTCCCTCTCTTCCTCAGTCCATCCAGTCTGACATATGAGGACACTTACAATACTCTGAAATATGCTGACAGGGCCAAGCAGATCAAGACCAAGGTTAGCTAAACACAATGTCACCATTTTAACCCTCGGCGCGCATGCGCAGCGAGGGTTACAGTAGTCGTTCTGTCTGTGTGTCTGTTGATGCTTATTCTGGTTATTAGGCTACGAGGCGGCCTATCAGTGATGCGCCAGTTCAGTTCGCCGAGGGTTTGCACTTTAGTGCTTTTAATTTAGACGGTTTTTTAGTTTACTGACACTTAAGGGAATGTGTCAGTACGTAAGGGCTAAATTTAGAAATGTTACTAAAGATAGAACAAAACAATAGGGGCACAGTGAAAGAAGGCAATTGAGTTCCAACATTGAGTGTAACTTTGTTCTTATTCAGGTTGTGAGAAATGTTCTGAATGTTGAGTTTCACGTCAGTCGGTATCGAGTCATCGTTCACGAACTACAACAAGAGGTATGTGTACATATTATTATTATTATTATACACGCAAAGGACACCTCTCTAATAAGAACACCCTTCCTTCCCCAAGAACAGTTCTTGCATGCAATTTAACCCCTGTGTGATACATTCTACTACAACATGAGAGCAGAGTTAAAAATGTGAAATGCGTTGCATTCGCTCTAGTGTATATATAAGCTTACGCCAAGGCTTGCGTACTGTACGTACATTATGTATGATGTAACATAGTGTAATTAGAATACTGCAACACTGTAGATTGCCGAGTTGAAGTGTAAGTTGGCTGACGGTATTAAGCCACCACCACCAGTTGTCAAACAGCCTCCAGAGACAAGTGATGAATCCAAGAGGTACATACATACATACATACACGTACGTACGTACATACATACATACATACATACGTGGTATATGAGAATAATTCTGTGGTTAGGAGTTGTGTGGATCGCCATTTTGCCCTCACGTCTTGTATCTTGTATGATGATTGAGAGTAAGATCAAAGGAATTCCACCTAGTCCAAAGATGCGTAGTGTATAACCTATACGTACATGCAGTCCTGTCTGGTACTGCAACAGATTTGTTGGATATCTCCCTCTCTTCCTCCCTCGTTAATCCCCTCAGACTCCAGGATGCTAAATTTAGATATGCGAAATGTTTCAACAGCATATATGTAAGCATTGCTCTCTCTCTCCATCTCCCTCTCTCTCTCTCTCTCTCTCTCTCTCTCTCTCTCTCTCCCTCCCTCTTCTATCCCCCGCAGACTCCAGGACCTCGTCAGAAGGGTGTACGGAGAGCGACTGAGACTGAGGAAGCACATGGTAGATCTGGACACCCAGGAGAGAGAAACACTTCTCAGGATCTGCAGAAAGGTTGATCAAAACGCTGCGTACTACATCTCTCCGTTTCAGTTATGAGAAAACAAAAACAACAGTGGAACTATATATACTATCTACTGAAATGAGGACACACCTACGAAATGATAATTTCATACATGTATACAGTGGAACCCCTCTCTAATAAGGACACCCCTGAAATGAGGACACCTCTAAGGACACCCCTGAAATGAGGCACCTCTCTAATAGGCCCCCTGAAATGAGGACACCTCTCTAATAAGGACACCCCTGAAATGAGGACACCTCTCTATAAGGACACCCCTGAAATGAGGACACCTCTCTAATAAGGACACCCCTGAAATGAGGACACCTCTCTAATAAGGACACCCCTGAAATGAGGACACCTCTAATAAGGACACCCCTGAAATGAGGACACCTCACTAATAAGGCCCCCTGAAATGAGGACACCTCTCTATAAGGACACACCTGAAATGAGGACACCTCTCAATAGGACACCCCTGAAATGAGGACACCTCACTAAAGACCTAAAATGAGGACACCTCTAATAAGGACACCCCTGAAATGAGGACACCTCACTAATAAGGCCCCCTGAAATGAGGACACCTCTCATAATAAGGACACCTTTTCTCTCCCCAAGAACAGCTATTGCCATGCAATTAATTAGCCCATGAAATAGGGACACCTCACCAACTTTAGTGTCTGGATTGAGAATATTATGCATGGATAGGACCAACTGTATACAAAGCCTGTTCTTTGTGGACGAAATAGTTGAGATTTTAGGCCAAAGTATTATCTTTATTACCTCGTTTGCTAGGAGAGGGACCTTCATCGAATTGACACTCTGACTGGGAATGATGCCAAGAAAGCAAAAGTAAGGATTACCTTAGCATAGTTTTGATTCGCTTTACACAATGTTTTTAACTCTCTCTCTCTCTCTCTCTTCCTCCAGCTGGCGGCGAAGGTGTCAGAGCTACAAAGGCAGATTGTCGACGTCGAGAGACAGAAACAGATGATCCATGAATACCTCTTCTCCAACAACGAGGCAGTGTCCAGGGTTCAGAGAGAGGTCACTAGATCTGCCTCTGGTGAGTCTTCATTGTTATAATGCACATACGTACACCTCTTGCAATGAGGAAATCATGTGTTAGTACGTACAATTAGAACTAAACAATGCAGGGGGGAAGTGCAATAATGCAATTAGGTTTCTGTTTCCGTTTTTAGTAACAATTTCTAAATTTAGCCCTTGCCTATATACTGTCAGCCACATTTCCTGCAAGTACATCACCCCAGGATGTACATTGAAACGCAAAATTGATACACGGCAAAATACATACCATACATAATAGTGACACTCCTGTGCTCGCGGGTTGTGGGGGTAGTAAGTCCCTAGACTAAGACCGCATGAATGTTGGGTTGCTGCCCGGGCGATGCGGACAAAAGCCCTCCCAGCCCTGTTTCTCCCCCACTTTCTCCTTAACCCTTCTCCCTTTTCTCTCTCTTCACAAATCACAAACACACACACACAGACTCGGCGGGTATGCAGGAGCTCATGCGAGAGGTGGTCGTGGGAAGGAAGCTGGAGGCAGAGAACGCCCACCACTGGCGGCAGACCAAACATCTGTTGAGATACATCAAGGCCCAAGAGAGGGAGATCGGGAAGACTGAGAGGTCGGTCGGTCGGTGGCTTTTTGGTATAGACAGAGTATTATGGGTCTGGCAAAATAGAATATTTTGCTGCCTTTTGTTGGCCGATATATGCACACTTTTAAAATGAGCATGGCATAATGTGATTCCCAACTCCAACTACGGCTATAATATAATAATTATAGTGGTGTAATTTGAATTCCATCAGTTCCTTGCTGCCAATTTTAAAGAACCATAAACGAGACCCCTTTCCATCCAAAGAACAGCTCTTGTATTTTTAACCCCATAGAAGTTGTGCGGTAGAACCTTTACCTCAGCTTTCTCCTAGTTGACCAATCAGATTGGAGTGTTTCAAACGGCCGTACTCTAAATACAGTGTTGGCTTAGTTCTTACCGACGTACTCTCCGTCCACAGAATTCTGCTGCTGGCTCTAGAGGTGGCGAGGAAGCAACAGTCACTCCTGCGAGCACACAGCGCCCTCACACCGTCTCTGCGAGAAATCTTCTCCAATCTCGTGCACGCCGCGGAGGGAGAGAAGGGGGTCGCCTGGGCCGACATGAACGCGTCGTTGGGAGCCAGGGGCTCCTTTCGAGAGACGCAACACGAAACAGTCAGCGTCGCCGGGTTGTCAGTTGCACAGAAAGCATTGTTTGACACTTTTTTAGTCCACGCTTCCCCGGCCCGACGACTCAGCTTGGACAAACACAGTCCCGCTGTGGTCCAGAAACCAGTTGCAGGTATACTGACAAAGACGGGGTCGACGGCTAGCAATGGGAGTGGTGCGAGCACCGCGACGACCGACGGGAGCGAGACGACGAGTGCGGGAGGGGACAGCGGTGTCGGAGTGGGGAAATTGGCAGCAGTCGAACGATCGAACTCAGACGCCTCTTCGGTGGTGTCCAGTCTCCTCAGCAGTCGTCTGTCGTCTATTCCAGACAAACCACGTATGCCTACCCCCATAGACGACCTATCGTCTTCTTGTAGCTCCAATAATTCTATATACGACACTCGCCTCAATACAGTTCTTAACTCTTATCACCAGAAACCAAACTCTGCCTCTTCTTCCGTGTTTCGTTCCACGGCGGCTGGCTCGGGCAGATACACCAAACTTCCCAACTCACGTGGAGGTACTCCGACTCCAGTGGGGTACGATTCACCCCAACCTACTCCAAGAGGTACCCCAGAACCTTACCTTACTCCGCTACCCTCCCTACACAAACTGACACTCACGCGGCAAAACTCTGATCTCTACAAGATGAGTCGCAATGAAAACGGAACGACGTACACCTCGCAGCCTCCCACGCCATCCTTCACTGCCAACTCTAGAGCTACTAATGGTCACCCTGGACTCACTAGCAGTCACAGTAGCTCTAGCATCACCGGTGTATCTACTGCCGCATCGTCCAGAGTTCTATACGGCACAAGCGGAGGGGAAGAAGGCTATCGTGCCAGTAAGTTGAATTGGGAAAAGCCGGCTTCTACAACCTCGGCATTTTCGCACGTTAACCAGCCGGGTTCTTTGATGGCTCGGTTACAAGTCCCGCCGCGAACGTCTACCTCGCAAGCGGTGCCGTCTTCTGCCGCCTACATGCAGTTCGTTGCAAACGCTACTAGAGTACAGTCTGCCCCAGTTCCCCCACCTCGACTCCACTCGACCGGGAAGACAACGTCGAAACTCCTCCCTCCTCCCGTTCCTACTCCACCCTTCCCTTCAATGGGCAGATTCGAAGACAATTTCGTTTCCGCGTCGTCCCATCAAATCCATCCGTTTTCCGTTTTCCAAAAACGCCACCCCCCAGACTACCACCAAAGGGATTACAATCTCCGCCAATGAAACCTCAAACTTGTCAACGTGACAAAGATGGGTCGTTAAGAGGAGAAATGAAGGAGCTACTCTCGGGGAGGGAGAGCTCGGCCTCGTCCCATTCCAGTTCCAGTACCGTGAAGAGTATGGAACCAAATTCCCAGCGTTTCAGTTCCCCGGCGGTGGTAACCGTAGAGACGCATTCGACGGTTGTAAGCGTTCGTTCTCCGTTGTCCCCTTCTTCGCCGCTCCCCACAACTCGCCACTCTGTCAATATCGGAGTTAACCACACCCACCACCATCACAGGGAGTCGTCCGGGGAACAGTTGCCGTCGACAACACAGAGGTCGCGACCTCCGGCATTCGTCCCTCCACCACCTTTCAACCCGACCGCCAATCACAATGCCTCAACCTCTTCAGTATCTACCACCACGAAATGCACTTCGACCTCCCCCAACACATCGTCATCCTCCAAAAAACACACAACGAGCAACGAGAAAGGAAGAGAGCGAGAAAACCAAAGATTAAGAGATGTTAAAACGGCGGGGGAAAGTTCCCAGCTGAATTCGACTTTCACGGTCGCGTCTCACTTGAAACGCGGGAGCAGTTCGTCCAACTCTTCGTCTACTATTGGAAGCAGTAGTGAAAGTGGTACTGGTGGTGGTGGTGGGAGTGGGTTAAAGAGGCAGCATGGCGTTTGGGGAGTCAGACCTGTTCCCGGAGCTCTGAAGATGCTGCACGTCAACTCTCCTCACGCTCTGGACGAGAGAGATCGGGGGACTCCTTCTGGTGAGTCTGTAGCACAGTAGGTAGCTATGTACATGGTTTTTTCTACATGATGTGGCCCACCTCTCTATTTTGATGGTACAAATTATATTGGAAAATGGTGGCAATAAATTCAATGTCAATATCAGCATTTCTCTGGTGAGGTGAGGGTAAAGTTGACAAGCTGCAGACGTTTCATTGGTGTCCCGTTCATGTCTTGGACGGTCGTGGAATCACCTTGTACACACAATATTTCTTTTGTTCTTGTTCTTTTAAAGAGAGCCTAAGTAGTGAGATATTGGATATAACCTGTCAGCTCTGTGACTCATCCAGTACATAGGTGTTTACAACTGCTTAAGTTAGTACATTCTCACGCTCGCTCACGAGAGTGTGTTGCTAGTAATTATTCTTCGCAATTCACTTCTTCATATTCTCCACAGTTGCTGATCTGATGGCTAAGAGTAGGAAAGTGAAAGGACTTCCAAACTACCTCCAACTGACAAAAGCTGCAGCCTCCAAAAGAGTCTCCAAGTAAGCAGACACGCACACAATCAAAATTTGACGCTGATTAATTGCTATTTTGGCGACTTTTTTCAGGCCACTCAACAAGGAGAATGGTGCAGCAGCTCATCATCCACTGAAAAAGACCGCGCCAAGTCGAGGCTACAGGTAACTATAGTGAAACATCTGGTACCTATTTTTACCTTTATTATTGCAGGGGTCCACTGATGGTGCAACCAACATGTTGAGCAGATCTGTTTTTCACTCACTTCTCTACACTTTTGTTTAGTTTTGTATGTTATTATTATAGTTCTGTTATCCTTTTGTCGTGTGATTAATTTTAGATCTGCGCATGCGCATTTTGCTATTTTAAAATCCCGAAAACTTCCGTATATCTTTGTGCCATAATTGTGTATAAACTCCGTATAACTCAGTAATGTACTCACGATGTACGCATGCGCTGCGTCGTCGGTCCGATCCGGTGGTCTATAAGGTTAATCCCGCGCACGTGGGCGCGAGGAAATAAAGATCGAGGGTGTTTGGTCATGGTGATCATTATAGGAAAGGAAGTTCCAGCTAGCTAACTACCTTCAGTATCCCCGCAGCGCCTGCCAGTTTCCCGCGTGTGTTTCGCGGGCTCTGCTTTTCTCCCGCACACTCTCCGGACACGCACGCCGCGTGTGTGCAGGAAGATAGCGAACTCCAATGGCGACCTGGAGCCGCAGTGTGGCATGCAAGGTCAACCTTGTACTTCTGCTCGTCTACATGGTGCTGTTATGCAGCCTCGTCAGTGCACCGAGTAAGTTCGTTGGTCAACCAAAGATGCAGTACCCGGCATGCAACCGCGACAGAACGAGGCGGTAGGCGATGGCTACATACGTTGCGAGTTGGATGTGCATCGCAGCATGTTCTTATGGCGCTCCGCATGCTGTACTGTGGTTGGTGCTGGGCGTCGGATCGAATAACGGACAACGCCCCGCCGGATGCCTCCAGGCAGATAACAGCTCCGTTGGTAGTATGAAAAAGAGTTTGCAAAATGTCATAGAGTCTTGCGTATGCAGATTTCTAGATAGTGTGAAAATATTTTGACCATTATTATCCATACGTGACCCCAAAGCAGTCCGTTTTTCAGATGAATTTGTAAATTTAGTTAACCCTGTATAGGAAACATGCAATCGTATGTCTTTTATATATATTATAGGACCTTCAGGGCCTTTTGAGTGTGACAATGGTAAAAATATACCCCGGAATTGGCTGTGTGATGGTCATGATGACTGCGACGATGGACACAGATCTGACGAACAGAACTGTGATGGTAAGATTACAGTGAAAACTCCGAGAAAAATGACCCTCTCAATGAGGGACAGCTCTCTATGAATTGAACTTTTTTCAGGCCACTCAACCCCATTCTAATACATGAATACATGAGTGCTCTGCCTTGCTCTGTGTGAGTGATTCGGCCCAGCCAGCTGAGCTGCCTCAGTAGCTCAGTTGGTAGAGCCCTCTCTAGAATACAGAGTGCTCTGTATTGCTCTGTATGAGTGATTAGGCCCAGCCAGCTGAGCTGCCTCATTAGCTCAGTTGGTAGAGCCCTCTCTAGAACACAGAGTGCTCTGCCTTGCTCTGTAAGAGTGATTCAGCCAGCTGATGGTAGCCTCTGGCCATCTGTTGGTTCTTAGTGCTTGTTCTGATGAATCCACACATGACAAAGTGAGTGGGAAGGGGGAAGGGAAACAGGCGGGGTGTTGCTGAGATCTTCATCTTTGTTCAGCTCCAGCCAGATCCACTATGGAGATCCAACACACACACATATCACACTGATCCTTATCCCCTAGTCTCCCAAGCAACCACTGCACCTGCAGGTTGCTACGGTTACGTTTCATTGCCATGTTGTCACTTACTTTCTGATACTTGATATGAGAACCAGAGATTACCAAGCGAAAGAAATCGTGTTTTTTCCTACAGTTTGATAGTTTTTCCCTCCAAATTTTTCCTTGTGTAAAAAGGTTTACCCATTAAAAAGTTTGTCGTTAATGTCCTCTTTGTACAGTGCAACAACATACTCATTACTAGTTTATTAATTGATTTACACAAATACGTTTGATTAAGCCACGTGCTGTGTTATTTTGAAAACGCCGGTTTGAACAACTCGCATCTCTTGTATAAATTGCGGCGTCGTTTGCTGTGCCGTTAAAAAACCGCGGGCACTTAAAAAAACACGTGCCAGTCAAAACTGCGGGTTGTGCTATACTTACATACGCCCCCGATTTGACCGTTGTATATACGAACATACGTTAATACATACATATACCTTACATCGTATACAAGTGTATGTATATAGCTAGTAGTAGCTGACATAATGCAGCTGTATTGTAGGTCCTCCTGTAAGAATTGTAAGTTTATACACGTAACCACGGATATCCATGTATGTGTTGTCTTTGACAATAATGTGGTGTTCGCCAGTGAGTAACATTTTGATTGTACATTCTTGGACTGGAATTTCGTAATAGTACAGCTGTTGCTGTAGCAATATCAATGGCAAAGCGTGTGTGTGCGTGTGTGATCACCCACTACAATGGCAGCTCTCTCTCTCCCTCTCTCTCTCTCTGTCCCCAGATCACTTCCCTTGAGTTGTTTGCCAGTTGAGCAAGCTTTTAACTCAGTTATTTGTACATTAAAATGTACATTACTCCAAAACCACATGCAGCTATACATGTTGAGTGATTTTGACAAATGCCTTGTGCCTTCTCTCTAGAACACAGAGTGCTCTGCCTTGCTCTGTATGAGTAATTCAGCCCAGCCAGTTGAGCTGCCTCAGTAGCTCAGTTGGTAGAGCCCTCTCTAGAACACAGAGTGCTCTGCCTTGCTCTGTATGAGTGATTCAGCCCAGCCAGCTGAGCTGCCTCAGTAACTCAGTTGGTAGAGCCCTCTCTAGAACACAGAGTGCTCTGCCTTGCTCTGTATGAGTGATTCAGCCCAGCCAGCTGAGCTGCCTCAGTAGCTCAGTTGGTAGAGCCCTCTCTAGGGGTTATAAAGTCATCAATTTTTCGCTACTTAGGTCAATGATGCTTATGCGATATCAAATTGCATACATCGTTAGAAACCAATTCATTTTATAACTGACTATGTATAATCGATATTTTAATTGAGCTACCTTTAGGCGCCGATCGGTACCATTGGCTAGTTCTCTAGAAAATGGTAAAGAAACATTCACTCATATACATTAGGTATCAATGAAATTACTGTGAACTACGTTTCCAGGATTAGGGCATTTCCTTTGTGAGATCAGGACACCTTATTGGTGTGTCCTGATTTAGTAATAGGAAAGTTTCCTGATTAGTGAGGTGTCCTGATCTCAGAAGAAAGTGTCCTGATTAGTGAGGTGTCCTGATCTCAGAGGAAAGTGTCCTGATTAGTGAGGTGTCCTGATCTCAGAAGAAAGTGTCCTGATTAGTGAGGTGTCCTGATCTCAGAAGAAAGTGTCCTGATTAGTGAGGTGTCCTGATCTCAGAGGAAAGTGTCCCGATTAGTGAGGTGTCCTGATCTCAGAGGAAAGTGTCCTGATTAGTGAGGTGTCCTGATCTCAGAAGAAAATGTCCTGATTAGTGAGGTGTCCTGATCTCAGAGGAAAGTGTCCTGATTAGTGTAGTGAAGTGTCACGAGCACATACTTTTTGGCCACACAAATTTATGACCTCCCTCATTCAAAATTGCTGAGTAATTGTATAATTTATTGACCACAATTCTTGTCTGCTAAACCGCAGGGAGCAGACACATGTTTTCGTTCGTAATTATTCTAATAATTTGCTGCATTGAAGTGTCTATTTGCATGTTTTAGCATAGTAGCTGTATTTATGCTGTAATGTATAAGCAATAAGAATGGATTGCAATGTTAATTTGTACTACTTGTGTAATACATGGTATATAATTATGTATATTACATTATACAGCATTTTCTCAATAACAATCAACTACTAATTGTTGAAGTGCCTGCTTATGTCGCCAGAAGGCTGTGTAGCAAGCACGCACGTCTCCGCCGAGGGTTTGCACTTCATTAACCCTTAGCAAGTCGACATAATGTACAATTTTATTATGCCCAGGGCCTCCATAAGTCCATAAGAATTTATATACGGCTATATAATACCAGGCGTTTGTATGTCATAGTTTTCTGCTTATTTATAAGGAGATACCCATCGCGTCCAAAGGGTTTTAAGTTGTAAATTGCAATAGAAGTGCACTGAAGTTGTTGGTTGGTTGGAGGGCAATGTACTTAGGGTGTCTGTCTCCATAGAGAGGCTATTTGTTCCACGGCCAAAGGGTACAAATTGGCCCCTTCGCGTTACTGCAACTGAATGCACCGCTCCAGTTGACCTAATAAAGTGTGTCTTTCTAGCCGTCCGCCTTAGAGGGAGTGTGTCACTACGTAAGGGCTAAATTTAGAAACGTTACTAAAGATAGAACGCAACAATGGGGACACAGTGAAAGATTGCAATCGAGTTTCTGTTTTTAGAAACATTTTACTGCTTAGTTATAATGATGTGGTATTTAAGATGTATAAGGTATGGAATTTGCGCGGTCGTTAATTTTTGTCAGTGTGCATTGCGGCATTTAATTGAAGTATGAACGTAATTACATAACGGCAGATAGTCGACATAATTTCAAGTGAAATTATGTGAACTTCCGTTATCACGTTTCCAGTTGATATTTACTGGGAAAGTGTAAATATCTATATATATCATCTTACATTAGATGCATTCGACTAATGAGATAACTGCATTAGAGTACATTTCCAACAAATGGGTTCTGAATGTTACGATATATTTCCTTCCCTGTGTGCTGTTTATATACATGTAGGCAGTGGAACCCCTCTCTAAGAGAAGGACACCCCTGAAATGAGGACACCTCTCTAATAAGGACACCTTTTCCTTCCCCAAGAACAGTTCTTGCATGCAATTCAACCCCTGAAATAAGGACACCTCTCTAATAAGGACACCTTTTCCTTCTTCCCCAAGAACAGTTCTTGCATGCAATTCAACCCCTGAAATAAGGACACCTCACTAATATGGACACCTTTTCCTTCTTCCCCAAGAACAGTTCTTGCATGCAATTCAACCCCTGAAATGAGGACACCTCTAATAAGGACACCTTTTCCTTCCCCAAGAACAGTTCTTGCATGCAATTCAACCCCTGAAATGAGGACACCTCTAATAAGGACACCTTTCTTTCCCCAAGAACAGTTCTTGCATGCAATTCAACCCCTGAAATAAGGACACCTCACTAATAAGGACACCTTTTCCTTCCCCAAGAACAGTTCTTGCATGCAATTCAACCCCTGAAATAAGGACACCTTTTCCTTCCCCCAAGAACAGTTCTTGCAACCCCTGAAATAAGGACACCTCACTAATATGGACACTTTCTTCTGTCCCACTGGTGTCCTGATCAGCGTATATACTAGTTGTGATAATGTACCAAAAAAGACATTAGAAAAAGCTACTCAATACTTTTATACAGTCGCGTACCTTGAAAAATTGACACAAAAACTAAAGCCATACAGACTTTATGAATTGTTGTACTGAGCTTCCGAATGAGGGATAGTGGGATTGGTGGTTAATTTCTTAAAGTGGTGTTACTCACTCCAACAAGCCACACTCATTACCGATCGATTCAAACCCTTTTAGCAAGCTTTTGCCGCGGTCTGAAGTAGGAAGACGCTCTTGCTGTCTCGGCACAACTGTTGACTAAGGTTGAAACCACGACAAACAGCCTCCCTACGGCATGGGCGGTTGGTTCTTAATATAGGACAAAGTTTTGGGTCTCTAAATTTGTTGGTCGGCATTTTTCGTTGTTCTTAGCTCGTAACCCATGTTCATAACCTGTTTTTCTTATGGCATACTGTGCATTGGGTAACCAACAAAAATTTTGTGACTCAAAACTTGGTCCCTGCGGCGCCGTTTCTACGTGCAACCTGCGCACGCGTAAAACAAGTGTGCGTCAATTGGAATTCGTTAAATAAGTTAGGCTGCGCATGTTAGAAGCTCCCGGGCCCTTCACGTAAGCATCCTTGCTGCACTCGGAACACCGCAACACAAGGGCCCTCGGGCTTCTAACATATATAGATTTCACGCACTCGATGTTTATAACTATTATTTATGCCTGGATTGTGACGTGCCGTGTAATCCCGGTCTAACTTCTATTAGTTTGATTAGTTTGTTCCCTCCCTCTCCTCCCTCCCTCTCCTCCCTCCCTCTCCTCCCTCTCCTCCCTCCCTCTCCTCCCTCTCCTCCTCCCTCTCCTCCCTCCCTCTCTCCTCCCTCCCTCTCCTCCCTCCCTCTCTCCTTCCTTCCTCTCTCTCCCTCCCTCTAGCCTCTCTTCCAGTACAGTGTGAGGGTGAGCAGTTCGCATGTGAGGATGGCACACAATGTGCTAGTGGTCAACACGTCTGCGACCATGACTTTGATTGCGACGACCGTTCTGATGAAAAGATTGCTGTAAGCAAGAGAAATTATGCATTGGTGCATGCTCACGTACGAGATATCTCCAGCTCCTCCTCCCTTATAAGGGGGG